GGAGGAAGGGACAAGGTGTGGTCCTCAAACTTCCAGTGCCAGGAAGTCCCGCCTTGTGCAAGAGAAGTAGCCTGAAAGGTGCTCTGATAAATTCAGGGCCACTCACTACCTGTATTTGGGGAAGCTCAGGGACGGCATCCTGGAGAAAGTGGCAACTGCTCTCCACTTAATCATTCCGGACACCCGGATGGAGAGGATGCCATCCAGGCAGAGAGGGGCAGGAGCAGAGGGAGCCTGGGGACAGAGGTGAGAGGGCAGGGGAATGCGGGCAGGAATCATAAATGACTGCCAGGCGCCAGCAAGTGCCGGTGCGGCCGACAGCCGGGAAATAACGCTGGAGATGGACAGATGGACAGCGCTCAGCTCTGGGGGCCAAAGTGCCAGCCTGTGTCGTGGAGGCAGCAGGGACAAAGGGACATATGGAACAGGATAGTGGCAGGATTGGTGCTGTTTCAGGGGTGGTGAGAGTTCAGGTGGTTTGTAGACAACTTAATGCTGCTTCAGCAAGACTGAACCTGCCCTGGTGCAGAGCAGATTGGAAAGGCAAGGGGGCTCCAGGGGCTGTTCAGCAGCTGCAAAGAGTGACAGAGACACCAAGCTAAAGGATCTCCGTCCTTCTCCCACTCGGGCTGTTTCCTGCTCCTAAAATGGGACTTTGATTCATCAGGTGATTCTCTAACACCGTGCCTTGGAGGGTGTCAGCAGACACTGGGAGAGGGTGGCCAGCCTTCTTGTGGGGCCAGAGGAACAGGCAGTGCAGGATACTGCACTCTGCTCTCACTTTTGCAATGAAAAGAGCTCTCGATGCCACAATACTGAGAGGAGAATATGACCCTGGATTTTACCTTTGAAGCATTAAGGGAATAACTTTCCTTGGAATCAGACTTCTGAATCACTGGAGTCAAAGATTAACACGAGTTTGAAAGGGCACAGTTCATATGAGTATGAGTACCTGTGAAGGGCACCCTGAGCATTTAGGAGTGCGACCACAGTTGTGCAGAATCCCAAATGCCTCGCAAGGCAGAATCTTTGCAGGTCAGTGACCAGAGAAAGAGTCCCTGGGAGAAAGATGTGACAAGGTCTCAATTCACAGTAAACAAATAAAATTGGTTATCCAGGGGGGCAGAGAAAGTGCTCTAATCCGCAGCTCTGCGCCACCCCTGCCTTTCGCTGGGTACAACAGGGGCTCCTCTCCCCTCAGCACCTCCTGCCTCTGCCAGTGATTTGCCCTGCAGCTGCCCTGGTGCACCAGTGTGCAGGGTCCCTGAGCACAAGCCCAGTGACTGCTGAGAAGGGACCACGCCTTGGGGAAAGGGCTTCGGGCTTCCCCAGATGGCTCAGTGCCTGTGGGTGTGCTAGACAGACTCTGCACACATGGACCTCCCCAGGAAGGAGGAGGATCCCACAGGAAGGTGCCGCCGGATGCCAATCTGTCACAAGTGCACAACAGACTGAGTCCAAGAACAATTGAGTTGACTGCGCACATGTACTATCGCCGAGTCCCCCGGAGGGCATCTGAAACAGGAAGCAAGATGTCTGTTACTATGCAAAGCCCTGCGCTTCCTGGATCAGAAATCTGTTCCTGTTCTGCATCTCTGCCTGTACCTCCCTTCGCTCTGCTCTGCGGAGAAGAGGAAAGCACTCCAGGCTGGAGCATGGCGGAGCTGCAGGTGTGTGTCTGAAAGGAGTGTGTCTGGCAGTTGTTTATTTGTCTGATCAACAGGCCATGGGAGCCTGAGGTCAGTGCGAAATTCAGGCAGAGAAAACATTTTGCAAGATCCCTCAATGAATGATGGGCAGATTTGAAACAAGCGTCCTTGTCTCTTTCTGTTGGCTGTCACTTAACAGACCACCTGAATGTGGCGGCTCAGGACAGCAGCCATCATTTGAGTTTCTCATGAGCTGCAGTCTGGGCTGGCAGGGACAGCCGTACCTGGTGCCCGCGGCATCTGCTCTGTGGCTCTTGGGGACTGGAGATACTCCCTCCCAGAACGGGAAGTGGGCGGTGGCTCCTGGGGAGCTGGGTGGATGGCCTCCAGGGGGCTTCACTGCCTCTGCATCTGGGCCCCCCTCTCTGCATTCTTCACAGGGCAGCTGTGTGTTTAGACAAAGAATTCCCAAAGCCAGCCAATGGAAGCCACCTGTCTCTTGAGAGACCTGTGGTTCCCCAACCTGACAAGTCCCCCATCTGCCATGTCACACTTGTTCAGAAATCTCAAAGCCTGAGACCTTCAAGAGGGCACAGGCTCCATGTCTTCAGGGCTGGGCAGCGAGCGGTCTTCGTCCCCCACGGGCACAGCCCTTTCCCCCATGGCACAGTGCTGCATACTTGCTGGCCTGGCGCCTCATGTGCCTTTATTTATTTTTATTTTTTTGGTACTGGGGATTGAACTCGGGGCACTCAGCCATTGAGCCACATCCCCAGCCCTATTTTGTGTTTTATTTATTTAGATTTTACAGCTTTTGAAAACCTGTCTCCACTGAAGCAGGAGAATGAGGGCCTACTCTCCGCTGCAGGTTGCAACACTCACAAGACAGACAGCCGCACAGGCCCGTCTACCAGCGGAAGTCCTACAGAAACTGCGGTGTCACGGGCATCTCCATGGTCTCTCTGATCATTTAAAAATCACATCTGGTGTTGTCAACATGAAGACCGTCCCGTGACAATGGCTTTCACAAGGTGGGAATGCCCCATACGGCTGATTTTCACAGGGATATGTGGTGCCATGCATGATTATAATAGAAGCGATTTTTGTTTACAGCAAAACTCTGTAAACAGTTGGAGTTGGTTAACTTTTTTTTTTTTTTTCTAATTTAACTCACACAGGACCTCTAGTACCTTCCTGGGTAGGCTGTGAGATTCAGTGTTCCGCCCAGGTAGTGAGTTGGGGATGTTGAGCATCTCCTCAGCTTATGCTGTGATAGTCAGTGCTGTGCGTCAGCTTCACCCGGCCTCAGAGTGTCTTTGAGGAGCCCAGGGGCCTGTCCTCCCTATTGACTCCTGGACAGCACAGAGGAGGAGGAGAAGGAGGAGGAGGAGGAGGAGGAGGAGGAGAGAACCCCTTTCTCTGCCTATCTTCTCCCATCTGGAACCTTGCTCTTCTTCCGTATGGTGGTCTAAAAATGCTTGCTGTCTTTTAATGATACCGTAGAATTTTAAAATAATATTTTAAGGCTGACCTTTTTAATGGAATATATCAAACACAGAAATCTGTGAAGCAAAATGCTCACTCATCACCCCAGCATGTTAATGAAGCTGTTTTCATTTTAGTTGATTTTTTCTAATTGAACTCACGCAGGACCTCTAGTAGCAGTCTCTGCCGGCTGGACAGCAAACCTTCTCCATGTCCATGGGCCTTCGTGGGGCTCCAGGCCTGTTGTGCGAGGCTCTGCTCAGCTTTCCCGGGGCCTCTCCTGCCCTCCCTGCGCTTCCTCGGGTGCAGCCACCGTCAGCTCCTCCCAGCTGTCACATTCAGCGTCCTGGTTCCTCTTGGAGCACCTCCTGGCCTCTGCAGGCTTCTCACCTCTCACTGTGAAGCTGAGCACGCCTCCTGGGCCAGTTTCCCTCAGTTACCCCAGGGGACACACCTGGTGCTCTTAGCTCTGGGTGAGTCCAGAGAGACAATGCAGGTCAAGCCTTGCAGTGCCCAGCATCCTGGATTTAATCAACGTTGGCTGCTTTCATTAATAATTGGAGTCTCAGTTTTGATGAACATCGTTTGAGCTCACCGTCATGGTTTGCCTGGTGATCTACTGTAGCACTTTATCTAGACGGCTACAAATTTCATGTTTCCAATAAAAAAGGGAATTAGGACAAAGATCTTTCAAATTCTCCTTTCTTATTATTTTGTGGTTTGCATCAACCATTTGTAAATATTTTCGACATGGGGAAAAAAAAACAAGTTATTACTTGAATATATCTAGAATTTTAGGGCAAGAAAAAGTATATTTCCAACTGCTTCACTTAAAGGGTCACAAAAGCAAGAGCAGCCAGGTTACAGGTCACACCTGTGATCCTAGTGGCTCCAGAGGCCAAGGCCGGAGGATGGCAAGTTTGAGGCCAGCCTGGGTAATTTGGTGAGACCTTGTCTCAAAATGAGAAGAGTCAGAGATGTAGCTCAGTGGTAAACCACCCCTGGGTTCAATGCCCAGTAGCCAAACAAGCTCACACAAAATGGGGGGGCCAGCCAGTTGGCTGAGCAGCCCCAGGTGGCTCCTCCATCACCAGGGTGGGCTTTCTGCTCCCACCCACCCGCCACGCTGCAGCCTGGTTCTCCTAGATTTTTTCTGTGCTGGTAAGTATTTTGCCTCAGGAAGCTCATGGAATCTACCTGTTCCCTTAATTGATGAGTTTTTAAATCCTTTTACATTCTTAAGATGAAATCTGCTCAGCCCAGGCTGCTGCCCGAGCCAGTTGTTGTGAGAGACTTCAGCACACAGCCCACACCCTCGCAGTGTGTGGGCTGAACTTCAAGGCTGGCGGTACAACATGCCAGTCCGTCCCAGAGGAACAGAAATGCCTAGCGATGTTTCAGAGACAACTTTAAAATAAAGCCTGTCCCTGGGGCTGCGGTTGGGGATCAGTGGCAGAGCGCTTGCCTAGCATGTGTGGGGCACTGGGTTCGATCCTCAGCACCACATAAAAATAAATTAAATAAAGGCATTGTGTCCACCTATGAGTAAACATATGTATGTATATAAGGAAAGAAAGTCTGTCCCTGAAGAACTGTAAGAACAGCACATGTACAGTAATGGTGATTTTTGAAATGTGATTCTAGGAGTTAAATGTACTTTCCATATGTTATTTACTTTCAGAATATACATAGCATTTAACTTTGATTAAATAGGGAGTAGATGTGAATTTAAACTGGTGGAACTCAATTATTGGACTGATTAAGCAAGAAATATATGTTATCTATTTTAATCCACTTAATTACTGAAACAAGCATTTCTTTTAAAATTACTCCATTAGTCCAAAGAACAAAATCAATGCATATTCAATTAATATTAATTATACAACAAATGCAACGTTGAGTCGGGTTTAGCACAGTCCAATACTGTGATTTGCTTATTGGTAAATTGAAAATTCATTTACTGAAAGAGAGAAGGGTGCTTTTGACTACATTTAGAATCAGCATGAATGCTAAATTCTAAATGTCAAACCAATCTCAAATCCGTAGGGGTTTGTGTAAGTATATTCAGGGCTGGCGTAGAGAGGCAAAATGTGGTTATATTTCCCCTGCTTCTAAAACAAAAACTTAACAAGGCCTGTAAAATGAACTTGTAAGCTTTCTGGACATGAAATTGCTTTTGCAAAACAGTATTTTTTGTGATTGAATGGGAAGATGCTGAATGAATTTCCCTTATGCTCTGTGTACCTTTGAAAATGAAGAAGCAAAGATCTGATAGGCTGCAGATGGGCTTCCACTACAAAATTAGTTGTCTTAAGGGACACTGCCCAAGATGAGTCACTTTGTCTACCCAACAGAAGGAAAGCCATGCAAACTTCATTTGCTTTACTAAGGCAAACCTATCGGTCACTGAGGAATGACAGGAGAGAAACGGGGGAGGCGAGCTTGATCTTGCCATGGTCTGGGCTGTGCCTGTGGTGGCAACAGGTGCAGACTGGGGTCCAAAGTCACACGTCACATTGAAGTAATCCTTCCCATTGTACAAAGTTTTTTTTCTTTCTTTTTTAACTTCCACAGCAACTATATCAATCACACACATATATTAAGTTGCAAATGGTTAGCTATGAACTGTGTTCCATAATTAACCTACAGGAGTTAAAATGAAATTCTATCCATCTATCTATTGCAATCTTTATTATTCCCTGAGCTCAGAGAGTTGGATGGTACAGTCGGCATCTGAGCTTGCATTTTCTAAGTCTAGTGTTCTTCTCTCTATGCCAGAGTTGCCATTTGATTGACAGAGTTGTTGGTTCACAGAAACGGGAAAATACAGTGACCACCCAGATAAAGTTTGAGGACCGGGATCGGGTAGGCTCTTGCCATTGTTGAACAAGTCAACTAGAAACTGACCCCAGGTTAGCTTTGCTCCATGATGCTCAGCTAGAGGAGACACCATGGAGCTTGTGGTTTCAACGCTCAGTTGATTCACTCATTTCTTTATTCATTCTATAAATATCTGTGGTAGTCCAGGGAGAGTGAGACTCCACGGTGGCCCTGGGAACACATCTTGGAAACCCTGGTGTGATCCTGCTCTCACGGTGGCTGGAGCCCAGGACTCGCACTGGTCTAGAATTAGAAGGTAGGGGAGGAAGTGCTACGAGGAGGAAGGAGGGGCTGTGGGGGCTCCGAGGAGAGGCAGAAGTCCAGGCTGTGGTGCTGGGTGCGGTCCCCATGGGTGAGTGAGAATCGGCAAGGCAGTGTTGAAGCGTGAGGCGCTGGCTGGGTAGAAAGCACCGCGTCCCTGGCCGTGTGAGAGCCCCGGGTAAAGGAGCTGTGGCCTCAGCCGATGAACCTCATCCTCAGCCAGAGCCCTACTCCACCTGCGAGGCTCTCGAGGCTCAGGAAGGCAGAGTCAGACCGGGGAGAAGCGGGTCTGCCTCTCCTCTTTGCCTTTTCATAATGCCACACTGTGATGAACCACGGTTTAGATCCCAGTTCCCCAAACCAGTCTGCCTTCAGACGAGGAGAGGGTAACAGCCATCGCAGTGCTGATTAGACCCCATCTCCAACTCGTGAAGTGAGTCACGGCGCTTTGTTCAGTGAGGCCCAGCCATGAAGACTGGCTGCACTATGGTGATTTTTGACTGGTTTCTGGGTCATGAGGGGAGATGTGGAACTGAGTTTATAGGCACAAAACGATTCTCCATTCCCAATGTGACGACTCTAAACACACACAGATTTCAGCCTCTCTGACTCATGGTACTGTTGTCCCTCAGTGTCCACTGTGCTGGGCTCCAGGACCCCTGGGGACACTGCAATCCACAGACACTGGAGTCTCTTATGTAACATGACACAGTGTCTGCTTATGACCTATGCCACTCTTTCCGTATACTTTAAATCTTCCCTAGGTTACTTATAATTCCGGGTACTAGGTGATTGCTTAGAAGTTAGTGGGGAATAATGACAAACTGCACATGTTCAGTACAGATGCGATTTTTATAAATAGTTTTTTAGATCTGTGGCTGGTTGGATTTGCAATGAAGTACCTAAGAGTAGACAGCTGAGTCTTGTAATGAATTGGAAAGTGGGGAGGTTGTGTGTGCCGGGAACGGAGTCATGGCTTGCCCACATGACCACTCAAATGTGGAGAAAGAAATGCAGAGCTGGCTATGAGGATGCCTTGGGCTCTTGGCACTGGTAGACATCAGCAGGCGACAGTGTTCTGGTCTGTCCTTTTCTTCCCCATCTCCCCACCTTCATCTCTAGATCCTGTGGGTAAACTCCATTAGGAGCTTCTCTAAAGTGCACCACCTAACCATGTGCACTTTCCCTTCAGAGACGACACATTTAGAGACCAATCCTCACGAGCCAGCACTCCAGCTGGGTAGACAGTGATGCTCTGTGCACATTCTGGTTCTGGTCACCTCGGACCCTCAGCCTTCAACCTCATCCTGCAGAATGTTTCCTGCTTCTGAAAATGCTGTGAGTCCGCATCCACAGCTAGTCATTCTTCCACCACTCTGAGCCTGCTTGCTCCAGGAGGTAGACTGTAATAACAATTGCATGTCAATTATTTCTCTCCACTTGTGCACCTGCCTTGCTCTGTGCAGCTTGCCTCCCTGGCACACTGTGGTGCATACCTTCCTCGTTTTCTGTCTTCCTGCTTCAAGACCCAGCAGATAGATCATTCATCTTTGTTGCCTCACCCACATCCATTCAAATCTCTACCAAGCCAATACTGTGACTGTGAGTGTGTGTGTGTGTGTGTGTGTGTGTGTGTG